CCCCTTGAGGCGCGTTCGCCATAGACTTTGCATGTAAACTGGCAGCTCCTGCCGCTCAAAACGCTCTCGGTGTGAACGAGCCATAAGTGTTTTGTGGCCTTGGAGAAGGCATTCGACTGTGTCCCTCGGGGACTTCTGTGGGGGGTACTCCTGGAGTATGGGGTACCAGGTCCTTTGATATGGGCTGTTATGTCCCTGTACAACCGGGGTCACAGTTTGGTCTGCATTGCCAGTAGTAAGTCAGGCTCATTTCCAGTTAGAGTTAGACTCCTCCAAGGTTGTGAAGTGTTTTAAACGATGGGTGTTCTTCTGGGTCTTTAAAATTTCAGCAGTGATGTAATGATCAAAGAAATGACTCTGCAGACATAAGTTATTCTTGAACAGTGAGGGTTTATTCAAAAAAACAGAGCCTGGGCCGAATCAAGAGACTTCTAGCCAAATTAGTCAAGATCTCCCCAGAATGAGAAAGTGGATACAAGTGACCAAAATGGGGTTCCTCTGCAGGGTATCTGGGCTCTCCCTTAGAGATAGGGTGAGGAGTTCGGTCATCCAGGAGGGACTCAGAGTAGAGCCGCTGCACCTCTACATCAAGAGGAACCAGTTGAGGTGGCTCGGGCATCTGGTTAGGATGCCTCCTGGACGCCTCCCTGGTGAGGTGTTCCAGGCACATCCCATGGGAGGAGAACCTGAGGAAAACACAGAACATGCTGGAGGGACCATGTTTCTCAGCTCGCCTGGGAACACCTTGGGATTCCCCCAGAGGAGCTGGTCCAAGTGGCTGGGGAGAGGGAAGTCTGGGTTTCTCTGCTTAGGTTGCTGCCCCCATGAGAAGAAAATGGATGGATGGATGGATGGATGGATGGATGGATGGATGGATGGATGGATGGATGGATGNATGGATGGATGGATGGATGGATGGATGGATGGATGGATGGATGGTGTTCCACCTTTGTTTGTCCAAGTGTGTGTGTTTACATGTTTTGCTACCTAGTGGGAACTGTTCTTTTCTCCAGTACAAACTGCCTGGTGAGGACTCGTGGTTCCTCATGGGGACAAAAGCCTGGTCCCCATTGGSGRGAAACACCGTTGGTGGGTCAGGGGTTAGGTTTAGGACTAAGGTGTGAAATGAGTTTAGGGTTTATGTGCCTGTGGGTTTAGGTAGGGTAGGGAGCCAGGTCAGGTTGGGCATAATCATATTGTGTGCAATTAATCATCCGAAAAACATTAATCGATTATTGTTTGGCATTTAACAATTAATACAATTAATGCCACCAGGCAGACTGGTTGGAGATTTCTCCAATCAGTCTGCCTGGCGCTCTTCTACGCTATGACAAACATTAAAAAAAGTTCTGTAATTTATTTATAACTGGGGTTGTGAAATTAATCGAGTTAACTCTGATTAATTTTAGTGCTGCATGGGCATAGATTAAAAATTTAAATTACGATTAAAATTTACAATCACTTTACGAAGGCTGAATATGTTGGTATGTAGCACTCAGTGCATGCCAGGTCATGTTTGTAAATGAGAAGTGGTTCTCAAACAGTTTACCTGGATAAATAAAGGTTAAATAAATAATTTTAAAAAACCTCCATGTGTAACACATTGTGTACAGTTTTTTTTTCTTTTTGTCTTCTTATGGCTTATTTTATTTTATTAACTTAATAAATAAATAATATTGTAAAATGTAAAAATTTAAAGTTTTATATTAAGTTTAAGATTAATCATGATTAATCGTGATTAATTCACAGCTACCTTGGAATTAATAGATTAAAAATTTTAATCATTTGACATCCCTACTATCAACACAATTTAAAATTTGATGTGTAGCCTGAAGTCTGCAATTTTGACACAATTTGGAACAGATTTATATGAAGAGCAAATCCTTCCCACTAAATTGGTCATGTGACTAGGCATTCAAGGGTATTAATCGTCAAATTAATCATTATTGGCTAAATACCACGATTAATCGTGATTGATTTTTTTGCCAATATTTTCCCCAACCCTAGAGCCAGGGTAAGGGTGCAGAAATTAATGGAAGTCAAAGCAATGTCCCCATAAAGATAGCTGTACATGCGCGTGTTTCTGTGTGTGAGGGAGGATGCAGCTGATTGAAGGCTAGCAGCCTGCAGGTCTCACCATCCGTCCATCACCGCTTACATCCAATCAGCTGCGGGCTGATGGGACCTGCTGAGCATCCTCCTCTCTCATCCTCGGGTTCCTCCGAGCAACGACCACACACATCTGGGTCCTTCAGCGTGGCTCTGCGCGTCTCTGTCCTCCCTCCTGACCGGTGATGGCAAACACCCGCTGCTTCACCAACCGCTTCTCCGACTACAAAGGCGCGCTGCTCCCAGGCCACAGCGCCGAAGCCATCCTCCCAGCCATCGTCACCAAGATCGAGAAGATCCTCCGGAAGGTGCCGGTCGACATCAGCGACTGCGACGGAGGTCTGTACGATGGGCCGGCCGGGGTGGCGTACATGCTGTATCACGTCAGCGAGTGCCCGCTGTTCTCCGAGCACCGGAGCGTCTACCTGAAGACCGCCAAGCAGATCATCGACGTGTCGGTGAGGTACGCGGACGCGGAGCCGGACCAAAACATGCGGGCCGCCTTCCTGCTCGGCGGGGCGGGCATCTACGCGGTGGCCGCTCTCATCTACAAGTCCATGGGCTTGGCGAATTTCGTCAAGCCGCTGACCAAGTTCCGCAGCCTGTGGGAGGTGTGCGCGCCCATCAACTTCCTGGAGTGCGGCTCGGACGAGCTGTTCGTGGGGCGGGCTGGCTACCTGTGCGCTGCCTTGGTCCTCAAACAGAAGCTGGGCATCGAGGTGAGTCCAGCCGAGGATGGTACATATTGAAATAAAAATATAAATAAACTGAGTTTATCCTGATTAGCTTTTTTGAGCTTTTTTCACCCAGAAAAAGTTCAGCCTTAGGTTTAATTATTATTATTATTATTATTATTATTATTATTATTATTATTATTATTATTATTATTATTATTATTATTATTATTAATAATAATAAACTGACATTAGAGTGAGGCTTCCCTAAACCACATGACTGTTGGTCATTAAGTTACAACTACAACAACCTAACTGTTCAATCTAGAATCAAAAGGAGAAAATATATTAATAACTGCAAAACACAGAAACCCCTTCTTGACTGTTTTTTAAAATCAGTGTTTATTCATATTAATTTTGTCATTAAAATGCTGATTAATGGGAAGAAAAAAGAAATACCCTCATGCCAATATTTCTAGAAGAAAAATCAGTTTATTTAAATAAGCCAAAAATCGTAAGGTTTTGACTCAGGCTGAGGAAACATCCAATTATTGAAATCTAAAATTTATCAGTTGCAATGAACCCATAATTTCCTCACTCCTCTTATTTGKTTTAGTCATCACAGTGTTCATTTAGCTACTTTCATGGGCTTTGGGGACCTGTTTCTCAGATATATTGCTGGTATCCAGCTTGTATATTCAGTTCTTAATGCAGTGATTTTTATATATATACTAGCTCTTTTGAAATACATTGTCACCAAATGTGACTTACATCTTTTCAGATGTTTAATAAAGACACAGCAAATATGGCAGTGTTAAAATAGCACTATTGGTGAACAGAGTCACACTGTCTTATTTGCTGTGCAGAGATAAAGTTGATTAAAACAACTCTAGCTCAGGTTTGTCTGTGGAAAAAGCTGCACTATGAAGATGTTTCATAGGGAGATAGAGTTACTTTAGTGATGACACTTGAGACTAATGTTATGAAATYGATGCTGGTGTGGAGTAGAAAGAGGTATATTGATCAGATTACTTTATTTACAGTCAGTGTGTGATACATGTCTGCACTTGTTTTTAGTTTATTAAAGCCACATTTAGACTGAGGCAATTTGCAATGCTTACATCTTCTGACTGAATATTACATTTTTAACTGATGTCTGTCTGTTATTCTGCAGATTCTGAGCAAAGATCAAATCAAATCTATCTGCCAGGCCATCATTGAGTCAGGAAAACAGTACGCCAGAAGGAAAAGGAAACCTTTCCCTCTGATGTATTCATATTATGGAACTGAGTATCTTGGTAAGAAAATCACAAAATTAGTTGTTTTTTTTGGCACACCACTTTGTTTGTACTCCAGTTACAAGTTTGCCTATAATCCTTTCCTGACTTGTATGAGTAGCTTGGAGCTGATGTGTTAACATGTTTAAAGCTAACTGTCCTTTTCTTGACTGCATCGGATGAAGAAAGGCGTCAGGGTTGGAGATCCTCTGTAACTTTCAGACCAACACAGTGTTCATAGTAAGCCCTGCTGGTCACGTCTGCATGGATCCTGCAATGCGATTAATGAAGGAGTGGAAAGGGGGAACAACACTCCAAGACATCTAGCTTGATGAACTCAGTTKTTTAAGGATCTGCATGTTTGCCTGTCCTAACAGACGTGTTTGATTTGCWTAGTCTTGGTTAGTTTTAAAATCTGATGGAAACTCAGAAATAGACACCTGGGAGAGTCATGCTGCATGATTTTAGCACTAAATTATTAACAAAATTATTTGTCTCTTTATTTGGTTGTTGGTCAGAGTGTTGGATGAGTGATGTTGTCATCTTTGGGGAGAAGACCTTAATTAGAGCACAAAATGAGCATTGACAGGTTTAAAAGAACCAAGGAAGGCCTTTTCTTTAAACTGATAGYTCAAATCTTTTGAAGTGGAGCTTTTGTGTTATCATACCGCCTGTTGTAGATAGCTCTTGGAACAACCTTAGTTAGAAGGAATAAATTATTTAAACAAGTTTGGCCAAGACTAAAGTGGATTGCTGCCATCCACTGTTGGTTCATGTCAACTCTTTTTCATAAACTTGCTATGAAGCAGTGGTTATTTGAAGCTAAAATAAGTGTGTTCCTTTGGTACATTTATGTTTATATGCCTGGCATGGTGTTTCCCTGCATGCCTGGTTTGATGGGTGCATGTGACCCCCCGGTCCTCAATTCCATTAGGTGCAGCCCAYGGCCTCTCGTCGGTGCTACAGATGCTGCTGAGCTACCAGGATGTGCTCAGCGAGGCAGAGAAGGACCTGGTGTGGCAGAGCGTGGATTTCCTCATGAGCCAGGAGCAGAACTGCAACTGGCCCGCAGAGCTGGGGGCCATCATTGAGAGGGAAAATGAGCTGGTGCACTGGTGTCACGGAGCTCCGGGTACAACCAGCTTTCCTGATGCATCATGTTAAACTCTTTCATATCCTCTGTTATAACACCATCCGTGTGCATTTGTGTACAGGTGTGGCGTATCTTTTTGCAAAAGCCTACCTGATGAATAAGAAGCCTCAGTATTTGGATACATGTATCCGCAGTGGAGAACTGGTGTGGCAGAAAGGCCTGCTGAAGAAAGGACCTGGGATTTGTCACGGAGTTGCTGGCAGTGCTTATGTCTTCCTCCTTCTGTACCGGCTCACAGGCAACACAAAATACCTCTACCGTGCCCAGAGGTAAGAACAGGCAAACTTCTGGCAGGAAGTACGCAAATATACTGTATGGAGGAAAAAAAACCATGCAGGCAAAATCAAACCTGCTCTATTATTTTTTCTTTTACATGAGTTAAAAGTTGGTGAAGAAAGAAAGTTTCACATCTGTGATTTGGAGAGAAAATTCTGTTTTTCTTTTACATGTAATTGGTATTTATTCACCCCCCTCTTAATGGCTATTTGATCCACTGTTTATTAAAGCTTGCAAAAAGAACAAGAACTCATGACGGACGAGCTGGAAAATCTCACTATATTGTCAGCGTTGTTGAAAGAGGAAAAAAAGAACAGAAGTCATTGGTGGGATGCTCACCCGTCACATCAGACCCAAACCGACCAGGGGGAGTCCAGTGTTCTGGTCCAACAGATCCTGCAGATGGACAGCAAGATGCACTCTCTCATTTCGATGACCTCAGATCAMCCTTTCCATTCAGCACACACACAGGATGCTGATCTCTGTTCCAGAGAGGCTGTCTGCTGGACTCTGGCRGCTCATGGACATCTGTTGCCGCCAGCTTCAAGATGGGGATATCCACTGTGGCTTTGATTTCATCCGAGGTGACCAAAGTGATACGGTTAGATCTGCAGCTGGAGTTCGTGGTGGCAGCAGTGGAAGTTTCCGGACTGTGTTGGAGCGATTGGTGGGAAGTACGTAAAAAATCAGAGGAAGTGGACAATCCATGGATTTGATGGTGGCTTGTGATGCAAGATGCTTTACCATGGTTGATGTCACGGGAGGACAGCAGGATGGTTGCGTGTTTGAAGGCAGCCGCCTTGCAGTCAAAAACGCACAACTTCCTCTGCCTCCAACAGCGAGYCTCCCAGCACTGAGGCATTGCACGTGTTTGTGGGAGATGCTGCGTGTCCTGCTCATCAACCTCATGCATCCATATGCAGGTATGTTGTAGGAATGTCAGAAAAAGGTGTTAAACGAGTTCATTTTTCTAATTTCTGGATGTCCTATATTGCTGTACATAGTCACTGCACATATCCAATAATAATTAATTTTCATTTGTGTTGTGCAGATGGCAACCTCTCCAAGAAGAAGCAAATATTAAACCTTCACCACTCRTGCACAGAGTGTCATTAAGAAATCCTTTGAGCATCAAGGTGGAGGTTGATCAGGCGAGTTGTCCCCAGTTAAGACAGTGGATGTGGGAAAGGCCTGCGTGTCTTTGCACAACCACCTCACAGATGCTGAAAACTCTGCCGACTACATCAGTACAACAGGAGAGCTGCAGCAGAGGGACTGGAGGAGAGAAGTGGAAGGAGACAGCAACCTCCTGGACCGGGGGAAGCTGTCAGACTAACCCCACCAGTACTTGTGCCATGGCTGGAGGACACAGTCCAGAGGGGGTGTCTGCAGTAGCCAGGACAACAGTTTGTCCCTTAGATTGTGTCTGATGTTTTCATAAGGTTCTTTCTTCAAACAAGTTTGCGTTTGTTGTTGTTTTAAATAAAATGCTGCTTCAAAACTTGTTGTTCAGCCTTTAAAATATTCCTGAAACTCCACATGTATTGTTTTATTTTGTTACAGTAATTACATGTGTGATGCATTGTTTTTAGAATATGAACACGTTACATAGACATTAACTTACACTATGGATTTTCTGAAGCTTCCACATACATTGCTGCATATAATTATATTTTATAATAGTGGCACAACTAACATAACTGAGGGCTTTTTGAACACAAAATCACAAATTACTGCACACTTAAGAGCTTCTTTCTAAAGAGTCAAACGTCAAARTACACCCAATAATTTCAGAAACAAAAGAGAAAACGATGTTTCTGAAAACATATTTGGGAAGAAACTTGCCCTTGATCCAATATGGATGCTTTCAAGACGTAGGTCCCATCACCTGCTGGGGTATTTTTCTTTTTGTTTCTGAAATTAAAGTGTATTCTATGACCTTTGACTCATCCTGTACATATAAATGTAAGGCACATGTAGAAAAATTGACCACCATTATTATAAAAACTTTTATCTAGACAGATAAAGTGTGGATAATTTCCAACCTCTGAGGATGCAGGTACCAACTGGACTTTTACTTTATAGTCCAGTGCCTCAACTATAGCTTAAGTCCGGAGTTACTTTTTGTTAACATTTTTTCATTTTTATTTTTAATTAACGTGACCAAGAATCAACACATGCGTAAAAAAATGTTTCATACATTTTAGTTCTCAGACATTTTTTTGAGCTGAACAATTACTAAAAGTCATGTTCAGGCAGGTGCMATCAGAAGGACATTCTGATGTAAATGGATCACTCACTGACACATTTCACTTTAAACACACTGTATGAGACATTTTCAACAGTCAATGCTGCAAGGAACAGAGAAATGTGTGGCTTTTCAACCAGAAAGTATTCCATGAKTGAACAAATACCATTGAGGATATGAGAATGTATGTGGGTTGATGTCCTTGGTTGCTCATCTGGTCACTGCATCAGTCCCATAAGGGCCACTTTGTTTTGCTTTCTTGGCCCTGGGTTGCGCAGCAGAGTGGAGAGGCAGCCGGTTGCACACAAATAAACTCTGAACAGAAATGTAAAATTGTAAAACACACAGATTGTGTTTCCACAATTTTAGCGATGTTATCTGTATTACAATAAGTGTGTGTTCTTTCCGACCCTCAGGTTTGCAGAGTTCATCTTCACTGAGGAGTTTAAGACAGGTTCACTCTCAGTCACCAGCATCTGCAGCCTGTTTGAAGGCCTGTCAGGAACAGTTTGCTTCCTCGTCGACCTCCTGCAGCCGGATCAGTCCGAGTTCCCCCTGTTCAGCGTCTTTGTGTGAATCTACCATCATCCCTTCCCTCTTAAGTTATTAGACTGACAGTCACCAAGAAACATCAACAAATCACTATGATTGTTACTTTGTTTAATAAAAATCACATTTAGGATTAGTTAAAGTAGAAAACAAAAATCTTGTGTGTTGATGTGCAGCTTTGATGCTTTTGCAGCTTCATTGCACTCACTGTAACGTTGTTCATTCCACTCAGCAAACAGAGTGTTCAGCTACTGAAGCAGAGATCYGAGCCATTAGCTAATAAATCTACTTAACTGTAAGGGGATCATGTATGCTTTAGCAATTAGATACTCTRGCATATTTTAATGGTGTGAACTACAGCCCTATTTTGGCAAAGTTGGGACATTGTGTGAAATGTGAATATAACAAAAACAATGACTTAAAAATCAAATAAATACATATAAATAGTTTMTTCRCAATGGAACATARTAAACATTAAATGTTGAAACTACAAAATTGTACAATTTTGAGGAACATCTTTAAATTGTTCCAAGGGGGGGAAAAAAGGTAGAATTCCTTAGTTTCAACATTTGATCTGTTTACTATGTTTGCTTCTGAATAAAATGGTTAGCCAATCATTGCATTCTCTWTTATTTACATTTTACACAAAGTCCCATTTTTTTTTTCAAAACTGGAGTCAAAACAAAAAGAAGCTTCAGCCTAAACTACTAACATCTTAATGCATTTCCTGTAAATATCTCCATCATAAAAGACCTGCACTGAAGTACACGGGGCTCAGAAAGGCGGATCCCCTGAATCAAAATGCAGCTTAACCCTCTGAGTTGCTGCTCTCAGGTCAGAAACATACATGTGCACTAAACCTGCAGCTTAACCTAAATCAAAACCAAGTCACCATTAAAATAAAAAAGAAAAAAGATGAATCACATAATGCCTTCAATGTTTTTTTTTTATCACTTCACCAGCTCGGTGTCACAACGCAGACCTCTCAAATTAATGCTTTCACAACCTTCAAAGAAAAACAGAAGAGAGATTATGAGCRTTCAGATTTGCTGATATAACTCTGGTAAATGCTGTGTTTATTGTCCCAGTGTCTTACTTTGTGCAATAACTCACTTTTTTGACCCTATGTGTTTCTTGATGTACCCAGCTGTGTTGTGTTTGGACTTTTAAATTGTAATATGTTGTGATTTGTTTTACCATGTGGGGGAAAATGGTTATAAAAGATGTTTCAATGTGAGAAACTTTTTATTTTAGGTCTGTTGAAAAGGTAACATTTTCCTGCAGGCAGCAGTCAGCGATTGATGTTCTTACATGCTGTAAATGTGATAATGTGGCCTTAAAAAACAAAACAATATTTGCTTACAAATAAATCTCAGAATTAAATACCAGGATATGCTTTGACCAGCATTTCTGAAGAAAATAGTAAAAAAAAAAATTCTGTGAATGACAGCAAACCAAAGCAGTTTCCTGGTGCAATATGTGCCTGTTGCTGAGTGTGTGTAAGCTGTGTGAATGTCTGTTGTTTTGCATTAACATCTTAAGCTGTGTAAAATGTCCAGATAAGAAAATAATAAAGTCAATAAAACAACATGGATGTGTTACTTTACTCGGAAAAGACGTCTTCATGATAAACTTGTGCAGTTTCATGGGAAAGTTTTGGGCATAAAATCTAAAAGGTGTTCATGGTGGTTTGAGAGAACTCAGTCTTCAATCATTTCACACCTGTGAGTTCACCTGTGTCACAAACTCCACCCAGCTCACAATCCAAACTGCTCACCAGCCGACTCCTCATTTCCTTTCAACCTTTTGGAATAAAATTATAATGATGACGAGCAATCTGGATTCAAAATTCAAAACTTGCTTTTAGCAGTTATTTACTTTGTGTTGCCTCAGACTTTGAATTCATCCCAGTATTCAGCTCTGATAACAGTTACCTTGACTACATCAGATTATTTCCAGTGCAAATACCAACATTGCACCATAAATGACAGTTATGGTGCAGCTTTATTGTGCACTTGTGTAAAGATGTAGAAAATACAGAGCTTGCATGTATAAGCCTTTTAAACTAGAGTTTTAAGATAGCAGGAATTCACTTTGGTCTCACTCAAATCAATCATTGTCATGTGCTACTGCTATAAAATGACCTAAACATGAAGAAATATGGGGAATAAAAATAAAACAAAACAATATGGGGAAACAAAGCAAATGCAAATCGAATACGCAGAATTCTGCATATAGCCCACTGCCTTTCATGCAAGAGTTTATATTTTTAGGGAATAATTAACCTTTAAAGAAMCATTAAGAGGCATCGTCTGACATGCAGCATCTCACCTGATCTGTTTGTGGACAATGTTGCAAATGGCTCTCAGCAACTACACCAAAGTTTAGTCTAAAAATTAATGCTAATTCTCCAAAGTGGTCGCTAAAACAGCAACAGGCCATATTTCAGTTACACTTTCTGCAGAACCCCACTTTAAACGAGCTGAACTGTCACTTTAATCTTAAAAGCTTAATTAAGAGACTTGGATTATTTTCAGTTACATTGACATAGTTTGCTTTCCCATGGAGATATGTGTTGTTTTTTATGTTACCAAGATAATGTATAGATATGTGTTGTTTTTTATGTTACCAAGATAATGTATAGATATGTGTTGTTTTTTA